TGCTACTTGTTCCTCTGCCTCAGGATTTCTTATCCTTGGCCCTTTGGGCCAGATAATTCCTTGCTGAGGGGGCTGTCCTGCTCGTCCGGGATGTTTGGCAGCATCTCTGGCTTCTGCCCCCTAGGTGCCAGCCAATTGTGGCAACCAAAAATGTCTCCAGACGTTGCCCAGTGCCCTTGGGGGGTGGTAACGCTCTAGCCTGTTCTCGTTAAGTCTCTTTCCAGTTGCCAGGAACGCACAGTTGGGCTCGTGTGAATACGTGGTGGTGGCACTGGGTCCCGCCAGACCGTGGGTGAGCTTTGAGGCCCTGAGATAGAAAAGGGCCTTGAATGCCAGCTCCTTTGCCACAGACCCCGCTCGTAATGCCCACTTTGTGCCGTTGCAGGTGGCCGTGGTGAAGTCAGAGGACGTGGAAGCAGGGTTCGCATCCTCTGGTGGGAAGCCCTCCCCAGCAGGTGCCACTCCCCAAGTGGTAGCCCTCCACATGGCAGAGCCAGGGGGCAGCGTGGCCGCCGAGAGCCAGCTAGGCACCCCGGACCTACAGCAGATCACCCTGGCGCCTGGGCCATTTGGCGGGGCTGGCTACAGCGTCATCACGGCACCCACCATGGAGGAGGGCACATCGGCTCCTGGCACACCTTACAGGTGAGATCTGCTGCCTGCGAGACCTCCCCTCCAGCCGTTTATAGGTGTGCTGGGGGGAGTCAGATGAGGACCCCGCCCACCCAAGCCTAGTGGGCCGGAGGTAAAGCTCCTAATACACGTAAAACAATTGGGCTGTAGGGGTGTCGTGTCCCTTCAGGAGGTCAAGAGCCGCTGAAGATGTGCCGGGCACGTGACATTCGTGAACTCACCTTAACCATTCCCACGAGATGCGTGTTTCCCTCTCTTTACAAATGAGGAGGGAGGCGAAGTAACTCGCCTAAGGGCAGACAGGCTGTAGATCTGACCCTGGTCTCTGTGGTTCCAAAGCCCACGTCCTCCTTGTACGGGACGGTCCCTGAGGTCGTTTTAGGAACGAGCTCAGGCTCCTTAGCGACATTGGAGGCCCTGCAGCTGCACTTGGCTTTCTCTACACTGAGCACGTTTGGGGCAGAAATGTTTATGTTTCGCATGTTCGCTGAACCCCTGGGCAGTCTGAGGAAGCCCTGAATTCAAGTACCGGCTTGTTCAGCTGGGATGGGAGCCAGAACCCCTGGGCCGGCACCTGGGCAGCCCAGTCTCTCAGCATCTGCCCGTTACCCTTGGCCCGTGGGTCCTTGCGGCCCTGCCTCCCCACTCGCCCTCTCCTCCTGCCCCACCTGGTCAGACTTGGGCTTGACCCCTGGAGCCCTCCACCTCGCCACCCCCCAGCATGCCCATCGAGGGGGCAGGGATGACCGCTCCTGAGAAGGACGATCTCTGGACACTTGGTCGCCATTTACGCAGAGGCAGCGGAGGTTCGGCTGGTAAAGGGAGGAGCCAGGGGTCGACCTGCGGTGGCAGTCACTCCTCAGTTGATGCCTTTCTTGGGGAAGGGGACTCCTGTGGCCCTCCATCCTCTCCTGGAACGCTGCCTTATCCCCTCTCCTCTGCCCGCAGCGAGGAGCCCCCCGGGGAGGCAGCCCAGGCCGTGGTTGTGAGTGACACCTTGAAAGAAGCTGGCACCCACTTCATCATGGCCGCCGACGGGACCCAGCTGCACCACATCGAGGTGAGGCTGGGGGTAGCCACCTTTACTCTTCCCATTTCTTCCTCCCTCCCTCCGAGCCTCACGCTCCCCTGCCTGTCCACAGCTGACTGCAGATGGCTCCATCTCCTTCCCAAGTCCAGACGCCCTGGCCTCTGGAGCCAAGTGGCCCTTGCTGCAGTGTGGGGGGCTGCCCAGAGACGGCCCTGAGCCCCCGTCTCCAGCCAGGACGCGCCGAGTCGGGGACCCCCAGGGCTCTGCCTCCCCACCTCCTGCTGCCAGCAAAGCCCTGGGCCTGGTAGTGCCCCCCTCGCCACCATCTGCAGCCACTGCGTCGTCAAAGAAGTTTTCCTGCAAGATCTGCGCTGAGGCCTTCCCCGGCCGAGCTGAGATGGAAAGTCACAAACGGGCCCACGCTGGGCCTAGTGCCTTCAAGTGCCCCGACTGTCCCTTCAGCGCTCGCCAGTGGCCCGAGGTCCGGGTAGGTGCCCCCGTCCCTCTGCTGGCACCCCCCCAGGCCAGGTCCTCCGCTCCCTGCTGGGGTCAGAGATGACTCAGCAAGGCCCCAGCTCTCAGGGGGCTCAGTCTGGCGGGGAGGCACACCAGGTGGTGACTAACACCCGACAGTGTCCCCGGTGTGAACTAATGCGCACAGCGGAGCACAGATGGGGAACGAGTCACGTGGACTTGGGGTGCTGGGGGGATGTCCCAGAGGTGATGGCTGAGCTGGGCCTGCAGGAGCAGAGGGGCGGTGGCGTGAGGCAGCTGGGGAGATTCGAGTCGTCCAGAACACTGAGGGCACAGTGTCCCAGGGAGGTGCGGGGGTCGGTGTGGAGCAGGCCAGGTTCCGGGGACTCCGTCTGTTCACCCGAAAATCATCGGTTCTCAGATCCGAGCGCATGCTGAATCCTCACAGTGGCTCAGTGAGGGGAGCGGGGCCCAGAACCCAGAGTGTCAGAGCTGGGGGCGACCTTCAGAGGCCCCTTTTTGAGCCTGTACGTTTCACAGGGGTGAACTGAGTGTCAACAGACACAGGGCTTTCCGAGCGGCCTCACGATGGAGCTCGTGGCTCTTCAACACCCAGCAGTGCCAGACCTTGGTCTGGCTTGTACTTCTCACCCAGCTCCTCCCACATCTACCGCGCCTGAGGTCAGGGTCCCCGGCTCCCCTGTCCGTGGGGGAGCCATCTGTCCTCACCCAGCCGGTGCCCCGACTCCGCCCCATCTGCAGGCCCACATGACGCAGCACTCAAGCCTGCGGCCCCACCAGTGCAACCAGTGCAGCTTCGCTTCCAAGAACAAGAAGGATCTGCGGCGCCACATGCTGACCCACACCAACGAGAAGCCCTTCGAGTGCCACCTCTGCGGGCAGCGGTGAGGCTGGGCGCAGGCGGGCAGGGGCTGCCGGGCACGCGTGGTGGGGCCGCCCCTGAGCCGCCTTCCTTCGCCCTCAGCTTCAACCGGAACGGGCACCTCAAGTTCCACATCCAGCGGCTGCACAGTCCCGATGGGAGGAAAGCGGCAACCCCGACCACGCGGGCCCCGGCCCAGACCCCCAAGACCCCCACCCAGACCATCATCCTGAACAGTGATGACGAGACGCTGGCCACGCTGCACAGTGAGTGGCGCCTGGGGCCCCGGGGTGGACAAAGGACTTGAGCCGCTGCCCCAGAAGGCACCCTTGGGCCAGGGCGGGGCCAGGGCGTCTCAGGTTCCCCTGGAGCCCCTGAAAGAGCGTCCACCCCTCTCTGCCCAGCTGCACTCCAGTCCAGTCACGGGGTCCTGGGCCCGGAGCGGCTACAGCAGGCACTGGGCCAGGAACACATCATCGTGGCCCAGGAACAGACAGTGACCAATCAGGTGAGAGCCTGGGCTGGGGGCCCTGCTGGCAGGTCATGGGCAGGGGTGAGGGCACACAGAAATCTGAAGCTAGAGCTGACCTGGCCCTGACAGGAGGAAGCCACCTACATCCAAGAGATCACTACAGCAGATGGCCAGATGGTCCAGCACCTGGTGACATCTGATAACCAGGTGAGCTGCTGCCGCCACCTCAGCCCTGAGTGCCTGCCCTCCTCCCCCCAGTCTCCAGGCCCCATTCCCAGGAAGAGGTTGGGGGAACAGTACTCTCCAAACTCCTCCTCCAGCTGCCATTGCTGACAGGGTGTCCCTGACCCCCCTGCTCTGCCTTCCTCGCTGAGCTCCCAAGGAGCGGGGCCCCAGCACCTGCCTCTTCTCCCCCCTTCCTCAGGTACAGTACATCATCTCCCAGGACGGAGTCCAGCACCTGCTCCCCCAGGAATATGTCGTGGTCCCGGAGGGCCATCACATCCAGGTAGGCCAGGCCTGGGACGCGGGTGAGGAGTGAGAAGAGGGGTGTACACCCTCCTTTGAGAGTAACTGGATTGGCTTCCTCTCTCCAGGTCCAGGAGGGCCAGATCACACACATCCAGTATGAACAAGGGGCGCCGTTCCTTCAGGAGTCCCAGGTAGGGCCCTTGGGGACCAGGTGGAGCCAGGGCCACGGGCAGGGGTCCTGGTGAGGCTACATCTCATTGCCTCTCTCCTCCAGATCCAGTATGTGCCGGTGTCCCCAGGCCAGCAGCTTGTCACACAGGCCCAGCTCGAGGCTGCAGCACGCTCAGCTGTCACAGGTACGGGGCTGGACCCTGAGGGTCTTGGGGGCCTGGGGCCCAGGCCTAGTTCCTGGGCCTCAGGCTCACCATCCTTTCCCCTCCCCTGGCAGCGGTGGCCGATGCTGCCATGGCCCAAGCCCAAGGCCTATTCGGCACGGAGGAGGCAGTGCCTGAACACATCCAACAGCTGCAACATCAGGGCATCGAGTACGATGTCATCACCCTGACCGATGACTGAGCCCCAGAGGCCCAACAAAGACCATGGATATTGGGGCCAGCCCTGCTCGGGGTGGGGGGCCCACTGGGACTCCCTCGCTGCTCCACCTAGGATCTCCAGATACTGAGCAGCCAGCATCCTGTCACTCCTGGGGAGCCAGACCTGTGCTGCTGGGGTTAGGGGACAGCCGTGGGCCCCAGCCAGGACATGCTGCGGGCCCCAGCCTGCAGGCAGGCTTTGGGAGAGAAATTTATTTTTGTTTGGATGGACCCACTGGCCCCTCAGTCTCAATAAAGGGACCAGAGTCCAGCCTTGGCCAGCTCACTTTGTCCACGTGCTGCTACAGCCAGAACGAGGCAAGGATTTAGGAAGGAGGAGGAGCCCACCACAGCCCACAAGGGTGGAAGCCCCGCAGTGCATCATCTTGGCCTGCCTCTGTAAGTACAGTGGCCCACTAGGGCAGACCCTCGGGGCAAAGGCCCGATACTGGGAGAGATGGCTAAGCTGGTGAAAGCCCCACTGAGCACCTTCAGACCCTGCCTCCTCCCCGGCCTCGGGGGAGCACTGGCTCCTTGCCTAGAGGTCCTCAGAGCACAGCCAGGTGCCTGCAGAGGCCGCACGCCCCGACCAGGTGCCTCTGACCTGCTCTTCCTCCTGACACTTGACTGGAAAACATAGCTGGCTGCCCACTCACTGGGCTGGCTCCAGGGCCAGCAGGCATCTAGGTTTCTGCCTCGACACAGCTACCTGCCCTCTGCTCCCCAGAGGGATCAGTGAAGCTGATACCAGCTGTGGGAGTTTGGGGCTTGCAGATTATTGATGCAGGGAGGGCTCTGGACCCTTCAGACCTCCTGGACGTAGGTGGAGGCCACCAGGGACCCAGGTGTGGGGACCACAGGATGAGAAGTTAGTAAGATACCGGAGCCCTCGGTTGGGTGTGCAGGCCCAGGGCTCATGAGGTGGTGAGCCTGGATGTAGCGGGCTGTGGTCCCAGAAGTTGCTCCAGGTTCCTCAGCCTTCTCTGCCCTCAAGACCCTCACACATTCTTGAGGGAGGGAGGTGGTTCTGTATTTCCTTTTACAAATGAAACAAGGTGGCAACACGACGGGGGCCGGGAAGGAAGGGAAGGCATGGGGCCTATTTACAGGGGACTTGGAGTGAGTCTGAGGCGGGAGGTTGGGGGGATGCGGGCAGGGAGGGGAAGCCCTGGCAGAGCTGTAATCTTCCTATGTCATTGGCAGTCTGGGTCCTGCTGCCACCCCAGAAGGAGGGTCCTGGGATCCACTCAGCCCTAAGAGGCCTGAGCGCCAGCAGTCCAGACCAGCACCCTGGGGCTCCTCCTCCCCGCAGGATGTGTTAAGTGGAGTGAGGCTCCCGGCTGGGGCCCTGCTCGCGGCCTGAGTCCCTGTCCTTGGCCTCCGAGGAGGACGACGAGGAGCCGACAGAGCCATGGCTGCGGCCCAACTGCCGGTAGGCGGCGCTCAACTCCTGCAGCCGCTCGGGCGTTGGCCCCCACTTGGCAAATCCCGGGTCGTTCTGTAGGAAGAGCACGGCCGTGCTGTGGACGGCCTTGTAGTGCATTTCCTCCCTGCGGGCAGAGGCAGCGGCTCAGGGAGGGGCCCGGCCCGGCCTGGTCAGCCCTGCCCGGCAGCCCAGCCCCCCTGCCCCACCCGCCCAGCACCCACTTCTTGCAGACATGCTGGGAGCCGCTGCGGTACTCGTGCTCGAAGGCGGGCAGGACCAGCTGGTGGCGCTTGAAGCGGCTCTGCTCCATGCGGGTGAGCGCTGGGGTCGGGGGTTCCCGCCACTCGGGGATGAACACGATGAAGGACAGGGGCTCTGGCGAGCTCTCGAGCAGTTTCTGTGGGAGGGGCCCACGGTGGCCATCAGGGCCTGGCCCTCCAGCAGCCGGCCATCTTGCTCGCCACCCCCCACCCGTGGCGACACACCCACCTCAAAGTGAGAGACCATGGCGTCCATGAGCTCCTCGCAGAAGGGAGGGTTGGCCTCGAAGGAACCGCTCAGCGGGGAGAAGTCCAGGCAGGGCCTGGGGACAGAGGTGAGCATTTCAGGTCCCACCAGGACCCGGTCCCTCCACCAAAAACAGGCGCTGCCCCCATGTGTAGGCAGCCACGTTGGAGAGAGGGCTCTGGGCAGGCCAGAGGCCAAGAGTCACCCTTAATTCTGGGACAAGGTGTGGCCATCTCTGTTGAATGGATGAGGACACAGAGGCTCAGGCTTGGTGGCCCAAGTTCACTGAACTGGTTAGTGGAGGAGCTGGAGCCCCAGTCCAGTTCTGATCCCAGTGCCACCACAGCACGAGCCACACCCAGGAATCCCCTGCTGCTGAGCTCGCCCTCTTGCCAGCCGGGCGGCAGCTGCCCCTCTCATCCATCCGCACCCCCAGGCCCCCGCCACACCTCTCGCTCCTCTCAGTGCCCGGAACCAGGCGCTGCTGCTCCACACCTGGGCTAATTCTCTTGAGAGCCACAGGCTGGGTGAGGGCGTGGCACAGGCTCCCCACACACTGAGCCACATGTCCAAGGTCACACAGCTGGGGGGTGGGGGCGGGGCAGGGATTCCACCCCAGACTGCCCAGCTCCAAAGCCCTCAAGCCTCGGGGAGCGGCTGACCCAGGTGGGCTCTGTGCTCTGGAGGATGGCTGCCTGGGCAAGCGGGAGCCCACCGGGCCCGGACCCTCACCCGCGGGAGCCGAAGTAGCCGTCCGTGTCGGGGAAGGCGGAGCAGTACTGGCGAAAGTAGCAGTTGAGGGGTGAGGCGAAGCACTCGAAGCTGACGCCGAAAAGCCGGTGGAGGGCCTCAAAGACGTGCACGGGCAGCGACCCCTGCAGGCCTGTCCCCTCGTAGAGGCCCACGCCGAACATCATCTGCAGGGCAGCGGCGCTCAGCCTCTGGGGCGCCGCCTCCCCCCGCTCCAGAGCGGCCCCGCTCCAGCTGCCCCAGGCCCGTACCTGGTACCGGCGGAGAAGACACCAGACTCGGGGCAGGAACCTCTCAAAGGCAGAATCGTCGATGCAGCTGTAGCGGTAAAGGAGCCACTGTAGGACAGAAAGCAGGGGGCTTCAGCAGCAGCCCTTCCCTCCCTCGTCACTGCCTCCCGCAGAGGACTCCAGGTCCAGAAAGACCAGCCCTTCGCATCCCCCTCCGGGGGCACCTGCCTCCCCCGCCCCCCAGCTCTTACCAGCTTGCTGAAGTAGTTGCGGCTGACCTTGACCATCTCGCCCTTATACCGGATGCAGACCACGTTATTCTCCACGTGCATTTCCACGCTGGGCATGGGAGGTGCAGACACGGCCAGCCGTACTGGGTAGCAGTACACCAGGCGGGGCTCCACCTCGGGGGCCTCCACCTCCTCTGTGGGCAGGAGAAGAGTGAGGGGCCGCCAGCTCTCACCCTGGACAGCCTCAGTGCCTACCGAGGGCCAGGCGCTTCACACGCGCATCCCAGTAACCAAGGGCGGTAAGTCTCACCCTGTGGAGGAGCAAACTGCAGCTCAGACAGTTCGGTAACGAAGGAAACAGCTAGGCAACTGGCAGGCGCGAGAACCAGTGGCCCACGTCAACACGCTCCGTACTGGCTCGGGCCCCTGGGCCACCACGCCTCGGGGCCTGGTAGCCAAGCTGTGGGTTTGCTGCCAGGCAGAAGTATGAGACCTGCACTGCCTTCGTCATCATAGTCACAATACCTTATTTAGGAATCTTTTGGGGCCCAGCACTTTAGTTCCCACGGAATCCTCACACGCTCCTGTGGCCGGTGTCACACCTCAGCGAGGCTTGCAGAGAACGGATGTGAAAGCAGGTCCACCTAACTACTTATCCCTGGCCTGTCTCGCTCTCCCTCCTCCGGCTCTCCCTTTCTCATCCCTTCTCCTGCTTCCTAGAGGAGTGCTAAAACCCCAGAGCCGAAGGCCACAGCGGGTCTCGCCCCAAGCACTGCCGGGAGAAACAGGCTTCCCCAAGCCAGTTGGCGGCCTTGAGGCTCAGCCTCACTTGTCCCTTTGTCAGGGCCCGGGATACTGAGTTGGTGGCGTCACAGCTGGCTCCTTGCCACCTGGCGCCTTACCTGGGATGTTGTTTTCCTTGAGAATGGCAAGGTGCTTCTCTCGGATCCGTTTGACGTACTCCAGAGAGATGTGGTAGATCTTACTGCAGATACCCTCCACGGAGTCCTTGGCTGCGGCCGAGACGTGGGGGCCACACTGCCTCCGTAGATGCTCCAGGCGATCCTGGAGGAGACACTCCTGATCAGGGCTCTGGTGGGCTGGCTGGGGAGGGCTGTTAGATTCCAACAGTCCTCGTTCTGAAACAGGCTCTGCTACTTACTAGCTGTGTCACTTGGACAAATCCCTCAGCATCTGTGAATCTTATTCCTCAGCTGCTAAGGGAACACAAAATACTTACCTGACAGGGCAGTTTGAATATTAAATGCGATCATTCCCATTAAGGGCTTGGCAAGCCCCCGACATAACAGTAAGTGTCCGATAAATGCCAGCACTTATTGTTGGGGTTACACTGGGCCAAATCCCTTGATACTTGCTGGGGAAACAGACAAACCAGGCACAGTCCCTGCTTATAAGGCATTTGCAGTCTACGGGGAGAAAGACTATTGTAAAGCAGGGGCTCTGCGGTCACCGCAGATTTGCAATTTGAGCTTTTAGCAATCTGTAATTACGCTGAATTGCACGTGTCAGAGTGATGGGTGAAAGGGAGTCACTCTCTACGTGTCAAGTACACAGTTACTATCGTGAAGTGCGAAACCTTGTCTCTTGTGAAAAATGGTCCTGAAAAGAAAGCCCATTGCTAGTGCTGGTGGAGAGTTAAAGAAGTGATGGGTTTGGGCCAGAAAACAGAATTGTTTTGGACACATTAAAGTGGGCGATTGAATCTGGTGGTAGCTCTTAACTGAAATAGGGCCACACACACCCAAGAAAAGGCCGTTTGTCGATCTGTTTCCAAAAATCTAAAGCGAGGCGTTGAACATTCATTAAGTTGAAAAGGCAGCTACTTATGGTGTGTGGCCGAGCACAGGATTCTATTAAGAACGCGAACGGAAATGTTCTTTGGGAGAAAGCCAGGAGCCTAGAGGAACATCTTCAGACGTGAGTTTGGGGACTGATGACTGTCAAAGGTCCACGGTACTACTGTACAGAAGGCTGCCGTGGGGCCCGCCCAGCCTCGGCAGGCAGAGTGGGCTTCTCGGAGACAGCGGCCACAGAGCCTTTCCACCACTGGCCTTCCGGCTGGGGCCACTCACCATATAGTCCTCCTTGGAGGCGGAGTGGTCCTTCCGCAGCCAGCTGAAGGTATCCTCCACGTTCCACTTGACCACCTTCCTGCTGTCGGGAGATGCACTCCTGCCAGTTGAGGGTACATAAAGGGGCCGGCTGTTAAGCGTCTGCTCCACCCTCCCTCCTCCTCCCATCCTACTTCCACTGGCATTTGGGCATCAACACCCAGGCTGACATCATGACCCTTGTTCTGCCTTTGGGAGCTGGCCCCACTCCTGCCACCAAGCGCAAGGACAGGGCCCTGAGAGTGGGCCAAATGGCCTGTGCCCTCCTCCCCCACTCTGCTCAGAGCCGCCTTGTGCCAGGGTCACGAGACAGAGCCAAACCTGGACTCGATGAGCCGCCTGGCAGCCTCTGCGTATTTGAAGAGCAGACGCTTGGCTTCCTCCCGGAACTTGATTCGGGATAACCTGGGTTAGAGAGTAGGCAGAGTTAGAGTCCTTCTATACCGGCCTGGGCACACAAACCAAGTTGCCGGGGTCGGCCCCAGCTGCGGGGCTGTACCTGATGGGAATGTCATTCATGATTTCGCGAAACATGGAAGGTGACACGACCGGTTCGCAGTTGCTCGGCAACAGAGGATCAGGACCTTTGTCCACGACCTTGCGCTCCAACATCCAGCGGTTGAAGGATTCCCGGGGGGGCTCGATGCCTGTGGGACGGGAGAGCTGATGAAGGTCTGGATTGAGTCAGCGGGCTCCACGCCAGCCGGCACAGGAGGCATGGCATGGGCACTGGAGGTGCAGCAGTAAACAAGACAGCCCCCGTTCTGTCAGGAGCTTAGTCCTAGGCAACATTTCCCAGAGTATTCTGAGAATTGCTAGTTTTATAAAGGGTGTTACAAAGGGTAACAAAGAGGGGAGGGATGGATTCTATATTTCAGCCAAGTTAAGCAGGCTTACCTGCTACTTAATAAAAGCTACAGTTTATTACGCACTTACTCCTTGTAGTAACGCTGTGAGGTATAGGTGCGCGGGTTTTTATGCCCTTTTACAGATACGTGACAAGGCTTCGAACAGTGCCTGGCAAACAGTGAGCACTGGAAGTGTTAATGATTGGTTTTGTTGTTTGGGCATTACTGATCCCAGCCACCCTTTAATAAAGTAGGCACTGTTACTGTCACTATCTTACAGATGAGGAAACTCAAGGGCAGAGAAGTTAATCGATAAACCCGAGGTCACAGAGCCAGTGGTTAGTGGAGCCGGGACCCCTCCACAGCACACGCTCAACCACTGGGCTCCACCGTGCCATTCCCCGAGCCCCACTGGCTCTTGCTAACGGTGGATGGAAGCAAAGGAGGCTGGGGCCCAGGAAGCAGTTACCCTCTCGCTGCTGGCACAGCTCCCGGTAGTGCTGCCGAAGCTTCAGGATGAGCTGGGAACGGAGAAGCTCCACCTCGGGATGCGGAGGCAGCACCTCTGATGGCCCCCGGTGCTTGATGACAGCGTTGGTCTGAATGTCGAGATCCCAGTACACCCTTGGGGCACAGACGGGAGCAATGAGGAAAGGGACGCCCTGCCTGCCACCCCACAGTCCCAGGCAGGCCGACCATCAGTGATCGGCACTCCCAAGCCAAGCCAATCAGCAGGGACTCACTCAGTGGGTCGGAGGAGAGCTGCCTGCTGTTTATCTTCAGGGGATGTCCCCCAAATCTTCAGGGTTGGGGTTCCTGGGACGCTGGGGGAGCTGGGCACTGACGGGCCCGTGGGTGTCATGGGGATGTCAATCTGGAGCAAGAGTCAAAGGCGTCAGCTCAGGAGAGCTGGCCCACGCGCCGACGCCGTGTGCACCTGGTGAGCTGCGCCCCGGGCCCCCTCCTGACCAGTCTGCTGACGCTCAGCGCTCACAGGGGACCTGACTGGGCTGCCACAGCCCAGCCAGCTCCTGAGTCCACACACACTCACCTTGGGCTTCTTCACGCCATTGCCGCTGGGCTGCTCTTCCGAGAGCTGCCGCTTTCGGGGCTTGTTCTCAGCCGGGGGGGTTTCCACCAAGCTTGAGTCTTGGGGCAGGGGGGTCGCATTCAGCCCCAAAGGGTCCGACTGGTGGAGGGAGACCAGCAGAGTTGCAACCAGGGCCAGCGGCTTAGGAGTCCCAGTACTGCGGAGGCCTGACGCCTCCCGCGCCCCCGCTCCCACTCCTTGGAGAAGAGCAGAGGGGCTGGGATGCGGGAGGGACGCTCGGCTCCACTCCTGCCTGCTCCTTGCGACTGTGCACCCCGGGGGAGTGCTTCCCCTTCCTAATTCCCTCACCTTCAGAACAGCCAAGCTGAGACCGACCTCGCCACTGAAAAGGTGATTAAAGGACCAGTTTAACATGACATCTGGCATGGAATCAGTGCCCAGTACATGTTAGCTGCTTTTCCTCAAGAACCAGAATGGGGGACTCCACTGGCAGTCCGGTGGTTAGGACTCCGAGCTTTCACTGCTGAGGGCGCAGGTTCAACACCTGGTGGGGGAACTAAAGATTCCGCAAGCCGCTCAGAGCGGCCAGAAAAAAGAACTAGAATGAAAATTAGGAATAAAGGGAAAACTCAAAGAGACTCTGGGAAGTCTTTTGGAGACACCGAGGGTATGTGTGTGACGGTGGGCAGCAGGGCCTAAGCCTGAAGTCCCTCAGGTGCGAGTCCTGCTCTGCCTCTTACTGGCTTGAGGTCTTGGGCCAGTCACTTCCCCTCTCTGAGCCTGTGTCTTCATCTGCGACATGGGGGTGGATCGTGCCAAGAAAGGCTGCCCCAGCTGACGGCAATCCAAAAGCCCACAGTCCCGCCAGACAGCCCGTGCCCCCACTTCCCCATCACGTGGACATTCCAGTTCCCAGACAGTGCTCCTCCCCGCACCCGACTTCACTCAGCCTACCTTCTCACCTTAAACGCTGGTTCACAGAGAAGCCTTCCCCGTCCCCTTCCCTTCCCCAGACCCGCTAAGAATCCGCTAAGAATCCCGGCTGTATCTGACACAATTCTTCACGCAGGTGCTACACTGTAACCCTCCTGGCCCCTCCAGTAGACTGTGTCCCCGGAGCATGCAGAGGCAGGACCAGGTCTACCTTGCTAACAACCACATCACAGGCACAGTGCCCAACATGCAGTGCGAGTTCAGCATCGTGCACTACAATCATCTTTCTAGGTGTCAGACAGTCTCTCCTACTGAAGTATAGGTTCCAGACACAAGCAGGATTGTGTCTGTCTTGCTTGGCATTGTGTCCCCAGGTCCTGACACAGGGCTAGGTACGTAATAGCTGCTCTGGGTACATTTGGGGAAGGCCCAGATGCCAGAAGCCGCCAAGACCCATGCCCGAGGCCGGCACTCACAATCACATCGTGCTGGCCCAGCACGGGCATCTCCCACAGGGACTGGTTGGTGAATCGGTTGAAGTAGTAGGGACGGTTCTCCCTTCTGCTCCAGCACTTCTCCCAGCCAGCGTGCACCAGCTCCTCTGCAAGCAAGCACGGAGCCCAGCCAGGGTCAAGACTGCTCCCAGGCACCCTTCCTACCCCACCACCCAACCACTGCCCCTCGCCAGTACCTGGGAGGTCCTGCACCAGGCGGACGGGCTTTGGAGAACAGGGCTGGCTCTGATTGGAGGTGCCTGGGGAGTGACTCAACAAGGATGCTTCCTCCCGGGGGCTGCCGTGATTCTCATTGGCCATCTCAGCACCCACACCGGACCTGCCACACAGAGGACCGAAGGGTGTCAAGGCCAGCAGGGCATGGAGGTCAGTTCCACCCCCCGCACTGCACCCCAATTACAATCCACAAGGGCCCCAGTGACCACCTGCACATGTGGAGAAACCAATCCAGTCCCTTCCTGGACGGCCAGCCTTGTGCCACAGGAGCCCTCAGCTCTAAGTTGCAGTTCCCTCAACTGTAAATGGGTGCACTCCCGTTGCTCTTTTGGCCTGGAATACTCTTTCCCCGCTTCTCTGCCTGGCTTGCCACTAGGTCCACATCCTCCAGGGACCCTTCCTCGATCCTCCCTTCCCCAGGCTAGGTGATCAGAGTCCTAGGATTGTAGGATTGTAGCACTCAAATAGTCTGGTCCATTAACTTGGTTTGTCTCCCCATTAGACTGTCAGAACTCCCAGGCCTCAGTACTGGGTACAGTTCAGCTCTCTCCAGTGCTCAGCATGGTACCTGGACCCAGCAGGAGCTGTATTCATTCTGCCAATGTTTACAAAGCACCAACAGTGGCAGACAAGACAGAACAGAGTCTGCCCTTGAGAAGCTGTTACCATAAGAAGAAATAGTAACTGCTCCTCTTTCCTTTTCCTATCCAGTAAAATCTAACTGGAACACAGCACAGCCCAGGAAGGGGCATGGCATCTAATTAGATGCTTGTTCTACACTACAGAGCAGGAAGAACCAGTGGGACTGAGAAGGAATACCGAGTTTAGTCCTTCATAATCCCCAGGTGAAAATATACTTTAAACACCAGGAAGAAGGTCAGCTCCTTCTGATTTGTATTCCTAACTACCCCACCCAAAGCACACCCAGCACAAGCCTCAATGGCCAAAGTGGTTCCCAACCTGGCTGTCAGACTCCTAGGGGTCAACTGAGGTCAGCCTGGTGCTCCTAAAGTTGTTTTCAATGTCACAACACCCAAAAGAAATCAAACATTTACCCACAAAAAGACCACAAAGGCACATTTAAACGCTGGTTATCTTTGCTACTGAAACTTTATCAACTGACTGTTGTCACATTGATTATCTCATGACAATCAGAAGCTCTGACGGTTGTTGGCGACATCATAGCGATCACTGGCTTGTTGATTTTATTGTACACCCAGTCACAGACATCTTTGTTAATTTGGAAAGGGGAAAATGAACGGTTACTTCGTCTGTACAGTTTGGCAGATAAAAATGCAGGGAACAAGAGAACACACATACAACGAAAGGGGGCCAGGATAAAAAGGTTTGGAACCACTGACCAAGGGGAGATGCCTTGGTCCTCTGGGGAAGAGGAATTCCCGGTGCCTCGGGGCGGACCCACAGGTCTCAAGGCTGAACAAGGTCCCTCTTTCTCTCACCCTCTGGGGTCTGCAACGCTAGCATGAGAGGGCTTTCTTCTCCGGCCAGATGGACCCCCTGGTCCCACAGAGGCAGTGGGGAGGCCTGCAGGAAAGCGTGCAGTGCAGGCGTGTGGGCTGGTCAGCAGTGGAGTGGACGGGAGCCCAGGGGATTCCTTGCATCAGCAACTGCAGAGCAAAGGGAAGAAAAGAGCGTCACAGACCTGTGAAATGCTGCAGAACAGGGACAACAACAAGAGGGGCAATGACACAGGGCACGGCGGAAGCCCCCAGGACAGGGCGGGACACTCTGTGGGAGATCTGGGGATTCAGGGGATGAAAACGGTACTTCTCAAGCTTCCCAACCAACAGGTTCACACTCACACACTTGCAGCCTGCACCGTCCCACGGGACCCTGAGTTGAAAAGGGCCCTGAGACTGGTTCAACGCTCTGCTGTCACGGTCTTCACATCTTTAATAAACTTTTAACAAGGGGCCTGTGTTCTCATTTGTACATTGATGTCACAAATTATGTAGCTGGTCTGGCCAACCACAGTACCCCTAAGACGAAAGTGAACAACAGACGCATCACAGGTTGGGAGTGGGCACGGTCCCAAGCCACCCACAGTGAGGGAAAAACACATTTCTTTGAATCAGGTCTTTAATTTTAAAAATAATGATAATCCATGCCAATGCATTATATAACACAGCGTGTTCACCTTCACTGAAATATTTTCCCCAAGAAATACTGTGTGATACTGATGCACCAGGAAGGTGAGCTATGCAGAGGAGGGACAAGCAGTACAGCTTAGTGAGGCCAAATGGGGACTCCGCAGTGTTTCCAAAACCAGCTGTGCATCAGAACCACCGGGGAACTTGTTAAAAAAAACCCTCAGATTCCTGTCGCTCACTCCACATCGTAGAGATGGGGAGGGGAGATACACAAGAATCTGTATCTTTTAAACACAGCTCAAGAGTGGGATTGGGAGACTGGGTGACTAATCTCACCTTACACCACTTCAAATCTTTACCAACTTTTTCATGATTAAAAAGTTTTTTAATTTCCCAGGTGATCTGGATGCAGCAGGTCGGTGCTGCATCAACCCTGGGTTTGCGCAGACCCCGGTTCCAGAAGCTTCTGCCACTTTCCGAATTAGAACCAGAATCACTCAACCTCTACGGTCTCGATGCGTAGAGCTTAGCACACTGTACTAAGTGCAAGTTATGTCTGCAAGTGAGAGAAAACTGCTATTACTAAGGAAAAGTTTCTATTTATCCTGTGGCTTCCCGGCCCCCACGCACACCGCAGCTCGACAAGGGCCCAACAGCTTAAGGATAAACAAGCGTATCTGCGGAACCAGAGGAACACACCAGAAGGAAGAGAGAGTCCGACTCCAGGATTGGAGGAAGACGGGGCGGGATCATTTCAGTAACGCACCAATCAGAATACTCCGGCCCAACAGGGAGCAAAGGGCTTCCAAAGTGCGCAGGCGCGGGGGGGCGCGCGATGGAGGGGAGGGCCCAACCTCCGCCGCGTGCGCACCTTCCCCCTACCCGCCAGCGGGGGCGGGCTGTTTGGCGCGCGCGCGCCAGCCCATCTCCCGGGCTCCGCCCCCCGCCCCGCCGCGCGCTCCCGCCCCCGGGCTGAGGCGACTCAAAGTCGGAGACCGACACAAAGGCGGTGGCGGCGGCAGCGGCGGAGGGGCTCTAAAGACCGGTCCGCCCGCGCTCCCCGGACCCAACTCCCTCATCCAGGTCACCGGCCCGGCCGCCCACCAGTGGGCCTAAGATGGCGGCGGCGGCAGAGACGGGGCAAGCGGTAGCCTCGAGCGGAAAGCGCCGGAGGGGCCACCGCCGCCTGGCTTCGGACCCCGGACCCTGGCGCGGCTCGCGGCGGGACTATGGCTTCCTGGGGCTCTTACCTGCCCGCAGCGGACTCGAGGGGACGCGGCTACACGTTCTGCTCGACCGCCCGTTTTGCCGCCTCCGCCTCGCCCTCCCCAACGCCGCTGCCGCCATCTTGTGTCCCGGGCCGGGACTCCGCGCTGCGCATGCGCTGGTACCGCCTCTGAGGGACCTCGCCGCTGCCGCGCCGCCATCTTGAGTGTGGCAGGACAGGCCGACTCTTTAGACCTCGCTTGCTGTGGGCCCCCTCCCCTTCCTGCCGTCCTTCCCTGCTGTTCGTGCGGGTCTAAGGAGCGGGAGGCAGCTTTGCGGGCCCTGGGGTGTGGACTGAGGCAGGAATGAACCCACGAGCACGCTCCCTGCCTCAGTTTCCCCCGCAAGCACACCCGCTGGGGCCCCAGGACCTGGGTGGGCGGTGCGCTAGCAGTCGGGCTGAGTGTGCGCACCAGGGGGCGCGGAGCGGGCTTGAAACCTGCGGGGGCTAGGCTCAGACGCCCACCTGGGGGAGGAGTCCTGGTGACGTCATCTCTGGACGTACAGAGGACCTGGGTCTTGCCTGCGGCGCGGCTCCGCCACTTCCGGGCAGTCGCTTGTCGTCTTTGGACCATTGTCCCGAATGTTTTCCAGCCATTTCTTATATGCAGGCTGCATGCACATCGAACTTTCTTTCCTAATGAGGCTGCATAAGTTCTAAGAGCCCCTGAGTAGAAAAAACTCAAAATAGCCCTGAGAGACATATAATAAAGATGGCTTTTGGCAAAGTTGGGAAATTATAACTAAATGCATCAGAGGGCTTTCCAACACTGATATCAGTGGTTGCTAGTTGCAGTGCAAAACCTGAGACCTCAGGCCGGCCACAAAAGTTAACCCAGCAGGAGAATGGCAGTCGCCAGGTCCCCTGGCTGCCTGCAGGATTCTTTGGTAGAGGTGAGCAGGCGACTCACTAGCTCCGCCTCCCTCTGGCCTCCCCAGTAAGCCGACCTCCCAGCGATAGCTTAGGAAGACAGGCTTGCCACCTGCTGTTCGGCTTGCTCTTCCCACGTAGAGCCTGAGGCTGCAGATACCCCAGCTGGGCCTCCGCTCCTGTCCGTGGTGCCTGGTCCCAGCAGCTTGGCGGGGTTGGGGGAGTGCCAGCAAACCCGATGCAGTAGTGTGAGCGGTAATGAAGAACTAGGGTTCCCATCAGTCTGCCTGGGTTCAGACCCCTCCTCCACCCGAGATGTAGATGTGTGGCCCTGAAGGAGTTGCTTAACCTCCTTACGCTTTACTTTCCTCTAATGGAGGATAAGGCTGCCTACCTCATCAAGGTTTGGTGAGAATTAACTGGGATGCTGCCTGTGGAAGTACACAGCATAGCAAGTGACACTAACAGATGTTAGCTCTTATCACCTCACGGGGTTTGAGGCTTGCTCCATGTAGATCTGAGACCTCTGGAAATAAACCAGCTCCTTGTAGGCACGGCAGGTGCAGCGATCCTGCCCTCACAGTGCATACAGTTCACCTGAGAGGCTTGACAGGCAATCAGATGCAGGGTCCCCACCTCAGACAGGGGAACCACATGTCCTGCTTTGCCTGGGACAGTCTTGATTTATGTCTGTTGTCCTGGCATAACTATTAAAATGGCTTCCTTTCTCAAAAGGGCCCTGGTTTGGACAATAAATTATATGGTCACTCTAGACTTACAGAATGCCCAGTTTTACAAGCTCACTAGCTAGTTCTCATTAACACTGGAGTGTAAAAATCATATAGTGATGGTTACATGTTCGTGCCTTCATGTTTTCAAAGTATTTTTTCATTCCTTGTTCAGATTCTCTTATCAAAGCATCAAACTTCCCGAGTGCCTATCCTATCTGTCCTCTCTGAACCCTGAGAGTAGAAAAGATTAGATCAAATCTACACATGAGGAAACTGAAGCTGGGGGAGGGGGCAGGGGTGAAATGATTGTCCAGGTTCACAGCCATGAAGTAAGAGAACTGGGATTTTAAGCTCAGGGTTCTTAACGCCAAAACCTAAGGCTGATTCCTTAAAACCACACTGCTGCTCTCTCTTGTGGAGAAGGGAATCTGGACTCGGGGCAGGTGACTTGTCTGAGCTCACATAGTGGTCCTGGACATTTCCACTTCAACGTCTTGTAGGTTTCTCTACCTCAGAGCATTAAACACTGCTCTTCACTTTCTTTGCGTCCCCAAACTTGTTCTTCCCGTTATATCCTCATCCCTTCTCTCTATCATTTCTACTACTTAGAGCAAGCTCTACTACGTAGAGCAAGCATTATTTTAAAAATCTTTTTCTTGTGAAGAATAGTACACATAGGGACTTCCCTGGTGGTCCAGTCGTTAAGACTCCACGCTTCTCTCAATGCAGGGGGCCTGGGGTTCAATCCCTGGTCAGGGAACTAGATCCCTCATGCCGCAACTAAGAGCTGGTACAGCCAAATAAATAAATAAATATTTTTAAAAAATAGTACACATGCAGGAAGGCACACAAAACAGAAAGGTAGATGATTTGTCACAGAGTGAAAGTGGTAAATGTCACTCAGGTCAAGATATTGCGAAGCACAGGGTAATCACTGTTCCACTACTTTTGCGATAATCACTTCCATGCTTTTATAGTTTTACCGCCTAAGCATGCATCCCTAAAGACTATCCCTTCATTTCACCTGTTCCTCAAACTTTATATAAATGGAGTTATATGTGTTTCCCTTCTTTTGCTCAACATTGCACTTGTAAGACCCATCTAAGTTGTTGCATGTAGCCATAGTTAATTTTCATTGCTGTATCCTGTCTTCCAATGTATATTTCTCTACTCCACTGTTGGGGGATATTGGAAGCCCCCACCCTATACCTCTTTTCTGAATTACTACTGGTTTGGAGATCAGTCCCCAAACTGGTCTTCTGATCCTCCAGCCCTGCTTCTCTCGTGGTCCATAATCCACCATGCAGTCACGGGGATCTCTTTAAGTCTGGTCATACTGCAAATCTGACCAAGTCACCCTGGCCTTAAAACCCTTGAATGTCTCCCCACTGACTGCACAATAAAGTCCCAAACCCTTACCTTGGCTTCCAAGACTATAGTTATGAGAGCTACTATGGCAGGGCGTTTGCTAGGGGCTGCACCAAGCACTTTACATACATTCATGTTATTCACAGTCCGGACCTTCAAACCATCTCTCTTTCATTTGGTCCCAGTGATCCTTATAATTTCCCTAAATGTGCCGCATTCTCACTTGACCCTGGGCCTTTGCACATGCTGTTTGCTCTCACTTTTCCTCCCCCTTTGCCTAATTCAGCCTTCATCTTAACTGAGATGTTGCCTCCACCAGGCAGCCTTCCCTGAACTTGCCTGAACCCAGGCTAGGCTAGGTCAGTTCTCCTCTTCCGTATTCCCCTAATGGCCTGTGCTCAGTGTTTGTCCATTTTCTCCGTCCACGAGGCTGTGGACTGCTTAAGGGCGGGGACAGAGCTTGTCACCCCTGCAGTCCCCAGACCCAGCGCTGTGCCCAAGCCTCTGTAAATATTTGTTGACCACAGACAGACCACACTGGGTTGAAGTCTTAGTGACTTTTTCAGGTATCCCCATCTCTATTCCAGGCTCTGGTTTCTGTGGTGGGAACACCAAGGCAGCACCCTTTGGGACACCAAGAAAAACATGAGTTGCACAATGTGGCAGAGTCCCTGCCGGCAGCCTGGGGTCGTGTACTCCCAAGGTGGGTTTGAGCAGGTCAACCAAACATCCTGGGGCTTTCAAGCAGTCCATCAACTTTTCTGTAGAAGCCTCACTAGACAGCAGATCTGGGTTGGGAGAGATGGTAAGCAGAGCTCCTCCAGACATAGCCAGTCCTGGACGTGAAACCGAGCAGGACCCTGTGGGGCTCCTGAGCATAGAAGCTTTTCAAACAGTTGCTAATTAGGAAAGAGAGGGGATACAGAGGCAAGGGAGGAGCAGTCAAGAAACAATAGTGATCAGACTTCCCTGGTGGTGCCGTGGTTAAGAATCTGCCTGCCAATGCAGGGGACACAAGTTCGAGCCCTGGTCCGGGAAGATCCCACATGCCGCAGAGCAACTAAGCCCGTGTGCCACAACTACTGAAGCCCGCACGCCTAGAGCCCGTGCACCACAACGAAGAGTAGCCCCCACTCGCCGCAACTAGAGAAAGCCCGCGCGCAGCAACAAAGACCCAACACAGCCAAAAATAAATAAATAAATAAATTTATAAAAACATAAAAGATTTTACATGTTTTTAAAAAAAAATTTTTTTTTAATTAAAAAAAGAAAGAAACAATAGTGCAGCCTTGGGGCAGGGTCCTTGTTCCACCTCAAGGGATACTCATAATATTTTTGAGGTCTTTACAAAACTAAACCCCCAACAAATGGAACATGTTAGCATTCTTCATTCCAGTTTAAAGGAACCAGAGAAGTTCATTAGGAGGAGACCACCTGAGGCCGGATTAAAGGAGCGCAGGCCCTGCACGCACCCTGACCCTTATCAGCAACCTCGCCTTTGAACTATTGCTGTAAAAAACTCCTCACCAAATCCTCCCAGGTTGGGACACACGCGGGCCTCTCACTGTTGTGGCCTCTCCCGTTGCGGAGCACAGGCTCCGGACGCACAGGCTCAGTGGCCATGGCTCACGGGCCCAGCCGCTCCACGGCATGTGGGATCTTCCTGGACCAGGGCACAAACCCGCGTCCCCTGCATCGGCAGGCAGACTCTCAACCACTGTGCCACCAGGGAAGCCCGGGACACACAGTTTTGAGGGGCATGAGCCCACTGTTTCCCCATTTGCCTGGCAAAGCAATAAAGCTATTCTTTTCTACTTCACCCCAAACTCTGTCTCCGAGATTCAACTGGGCACTGGTGCACAGAGGCCGAGTTTCTGGCATCAGCGGGAGCCTGTTATCAGGGCCTCTGAGGACCCTGGCCTCAAATCAGGACAAAGCCATCTCCATGTTAAAACGGAAACATAAACATACAGGCTCGGGGTGCCACATACCTTCACCTCCCTGTTCTTTCCCACTACGGCAAGAAGCTGCTGAGAGAGAGCCATACATTTTAAGCCCTGAGGTCCTGGCAGTTGGGGAAGGGAGGCTCCAACATGACCCTGTTCCAGGTTGCTTTCCTCCCCACCAAGGCCAAGCCTGAGCTGCCCCGAGACCCTGTTCTGCAGTTGAAGTATCACTAAGGCAGTTTCCAAGGCGAGTGGGCCTGGCCCTAGGAAAGCTTTGGAAGCAGGCT